CCAGACCTCGCACTAGCACACCGCGCGCGTATTAAAAATTCAAAATGGCCGCCACAAAACACAAAACACGTGCGATAAAGGTAGGTTCATCTTTTATTCATGTTCTAAACGGATGTGAGGGCTCCCTGTGCATATACGGCGGATGCGAAGAGCTAAGCTAAACGGAATAGCTTTTTAGTATGTTGAAGATGGCATGATGAAACCTACAGACAAACCCCAACATCTTTGAGCTCCATACTAACTCTTCCTTCTTTTACAGTTATTTAGCTGTGGTCTAGTCGATATGACCATTGTGTTTAAATAATTCACCCTGTGACCGAACAGTTTGAATAAAACAAAGGCAAAGTGAAATGAAGTTAACAAATGTCATTACTCGAAATTTTCACTTCCATGGGACTCATGATCACGCGATATTCCACCATCACACCAGTAGTAGTATGTTCATAATCTGACTCGGGAAGTTCTCGCAAAATTGCACAGAAGTCTCGGCAAGAGTTTTGGACGACTAGCCTTGCATGCAACAGCCCTCAGGGTTGATTGTGAATTTGCGTCAATAAAAAATAAATATCTTCAGCCAGCTACAAAATTAAAATGCCACCTTGAAATAAAGTCGCAGCTCAATGTTGCTTAGGAAGTAAAATTATCATATAAAAAGCTTCCCTCATGCAGACCTGTCCAGAGTTGATGCTATTTGTTCAAAAACAACTAAAAGTAGTTAAAATAAAAACAAAATCTAAACATACATTATTCATACAGCATCAGTCCACTGAAGTATTAAAATCGCTTGATCAATTTCACCAGTGATTACAAACTTGGTTTAACTCAATAAATTGGACTCTAACCAGTTTCTAAATAACTTAGAAACTAGAAATACAAACTCCAAAAGATGCTCCAAATTTAGTTATTTGGTGCTTTGTGTTGGTCAGTTCTTGTTTAAATACTTTCTAGAAACTTCTAGAAACTTCTAGAATTTCTGAGGTGAAAGGGACTTCCCTGAAACACAAATAGAAAGTGAAAGTTGCATCTCATCAAGTAAGCCATGGAGTGTTGATAAGAAAATCCTGCAATACTACATGCAGCTCTAAGTATTAAATGTTGTTGTAAATTTTACTTTTTATGAACGTTTCCTTAGAAAACGTCAGAAGTAAACGTACATATCATAAAAGCCCCCAAAGTTAATCGGGAAGTTACTACCGTAAACCGCGATCGATTTAGGAATAAACTGTTACTACAACAGCTTCAAAATTAACTAGCGGTCATTATCCCAGTAGAGTGCAACGATAAAGAACCTACAATCAACACTGTGCAAATGATGTGAAAATGAAATAACTGCATAGCATGGATAGATAGTTTGCTGACCAACAAGCCCAGACTTGCATGCAGCGGCCGGACGAGTTTTAGCAGCGTCATTAATAATTCCATTTCTTTTGCTGAAGATCGAAGTAGAATTTAGAAAACAGGGTCGATTTGACACTCTCTGTGTTTCACTTACCAATGTGAACCCCCGTTTGTAGTTTTGACCGTTCTTGTGCTTTCTACTTAGCTTGGTGCGATCATCTTGTCTCAAGTCGCCTTCGAAGCTGTCTTCGGCATCGTCGGCTGCGTGGAATATGTTGGAATTTGATGGACTGAAAAGCCACTCCTTAATTCCTTCCCATTCTTCACGCCGCGACAGGGCTAAGCGACGCACTGGAACGACAACCTGTCTCACATAATTTCAGATAGACTGAAAAGGCATTTTCATTTTCGCCCTCAGAACTCCCTCAGCGGAATATTCTGGTTCCAGAGGTTTTCTCTTTTCTATTTCTCAGCGGTGATGGTTTTTTTTCTTCAGTAACTAGAGGCAGAATGAGGAAATAATACCTCTGCCAGGTTAAGGAGACATTTGTTTCATTTTTCAGATTTTCTCGGTGGCTCAAAATAAAAGACACTTCTGTATCAGGTTGGCTGCACAAGACTGTTCAGCCTGTTCCGTGGTGCAAGTTTCTCGTAAATTCTGTTTTGGTAAAGCGACTCCGTCGCGGAAGCCTGGATCATTAGTCTTTACGGAAACTAACCAGTGAAGCAAGGAATAAATTAGTAGCTGGATGAATGAATGAATGGCCAGGCGAATGAAGGAACGAAGAAAGGAAGGCAGGAGGGAATTAAGGAAGGAAAGAATAAATGAAGAAATAAATGATCAATTTCCTTTTTTGGCTTTATTTTTTTATTGTACGTGCTACCTTGGTTACATTTAGAGTTTTTTTTTCAAGTAGTTCATGTTCAGTTAAGAAAAGACTGATTTTTCTAAAGGAGCTCAGTCACGGTTTGCGCATATTGAAAACTTAAGCCTCAATTTTTCAA